CCCTCCCCCCCCACACCCTTCGGGGCCAGCCATGTAAAAAGTCAATCCGCCGCCGCCACCTCCTCCAGCCTGCGGTACAGTGGCTCCCTCCGCACCTCCGCCTCACAGCGGGGCTTCCCTCTGCCCCTTCCTCCCTGCTGGCTGTTGTTGGGGCTGGGTAGTGGGGGCTGCTCCCACCCCCTGCTCCTCTCCCCTCCCTGTTTTCCTCCCTTCTGCCTGGCCCTGACAACAGCTGCCACCATGACCCCCACTTCACCACCTTGCACCCACCCAGGCCTCCACAGCCTCCTTCCCTCCCTGCCAGCTGTTGTTGGGGGCCCCTTTCCACTCCTCTCCCTTCCTCTCTCCCTGTCTCCCAGCCCTGACAACAGCAGCCACCGTGACCCCCCTTTTGCCTCCCCCCATCCTGCCCTGCCCCACTCCTCTTCTTCCCTTCCTCAGTGCCTGCTGCCTCCCCTCCCTGCTGGCAGTTCTGGGGAGTGGTGTGGGGGTACTGCCACCGCGACTGCTCCACTTCGCCCTCAGTCAGGGAGGTGTGGGGAACCCCGCTGCTCAGGTGGCTGCAGCATGTTCACCACCACCCCAAACTTTCCTAGCAGTGGCTTAAACTTGGACCTGTGCAGCCTGGGCCCGCACAGCCAATCGCCGCCTGCCTTCTTGGTGGCACGTGTGCAGTTGGCCAAAAGTGTTACGGACAGACATGCAGAAAGACAGACTAAGCCCCTTATTATATTACAATAATAGGAAAAGGGCTGAGATCCAGAAACACAGAACTGGTTAGTTTTGTAGTTGAGCCTTTGGCTTAAAACTTTAAAGAGGTCAGGATGCCTTACAAGATATGTCGAATTATCTTTGTTTCTTTTGATGCCCTTGTGATGCATCAAAGTGAGGAGTGCATCACTTTGACTTTGAGGGCATCAAAATGATGCCCTGTCCTTAGGCTAATTGTTCTTTACCAGTTACTTGCTTGTTTACTGTTACAGGTAGGACAGAAGCAAATAAATATTTAACAAAGGATCCTCTCCTCATGAAAATGCTTTGAGTAGGAGTACTCTTAAAATATGGTAGATTCTCTGAAATCTAGCTGAGGGCTAGGGAGAACCTGCTAAAGGAAGTGCCAGGGGCTGACTCTGAGCAGTGGCAGGAAGGGACCTGCATTTGTGGCATGTGGGGGCATGCATATGTGCATGAGCCCATCTTTAAATGCATTGAAAATTGTATTTTCAAGATGTTATTTCCTTGTATGCATTTGACATGTTTGGAGGGAATGCAACATATAGAAGACAGACTGAAAATTGCAACACTAGTTCAGAGTAGATGATATTAAAAACTACCAGTTATGGGGTTGGAAGAGACTACCTACGAGAGCCTGTCTTTAGGATTTTTTACATATCAATTAGACACACATTTGGGATGCGTTAGACAGCGGTGGTCTGATCGTGGGCAGGGGGGTTGGTGTAGGTGATATATATGTCCCATTCAGCTCTATATTTCTATTATTCTACTTATTTTAAACCTGATAGCTTTAGCTCAATTGCATGGTTTCGGAGGGTTGTGACTCTTCATTTTTAAACTCTTGGAGTTGAAAATACTGTTACTGCAATACAAAAATGGCTATGAAACCTCAACATTGATTCCTAGAGGATTAGCTACAGAAAGTTGTAAGTTGAAGCTAGCAATATCAGAAGGTAATACAGAGTTATAATAGTTTCTCCTGTAATTTGCTTATATGCTGTATGCATATTTTTTGGCATGGAAATTTTTTAAACGTCAATAAAAGTTACCTTCTTTAACTTTAACTACATGGTTAAAGTTCTGTATGTACACTTTAAGAAACATATACAGTAGAAAGGGCAGTGATGTGATCTAAGCATGTGAAAGGCCTATGCTTCTGGTCTTAAACAGCTATGTAACCATGGCGAGTTAAAAGGAAAAATGATCTGACTTTGTATCTCTTGGTATCCTGGTGTGTTTTGTTGTCATGCCTACATGAACAGGTGCCTGGTGTAAATCTGCCCGTCAGTCAGCTGACCTATTTCTTCACTGCAATCCTCATCAGTGGTGTCATACATGAAGTTGGCCATGGGGTGGCAGCTATTCGGTAATTCAAACTACTTTTCTCTTACTATGTACCAACAAAGTGCATAATTACACGAGCATGTAATTACAAGTGAATATGATTAGTGATTCTGTCATTTATGAAGGTAGTTTATTTATTTTGCTTAAGCGCATATTTTAATTTTGGAAGTCTCTAGGGGCAAGGATGGGACAGAGATCTTCAATACAGAAAGTCCATTGCAAACATTATGAGCATGACTTTTTTGTATTGCATCGTATATTTTGTATTACCTTAGATTTACCTTCTGGTTCACCAGGGTCCCCTATTTTTGTGGTTCTGCAGTGTACAGAGAACTTGTGCAAAATGGTCATCCAAATCTAATATTTTTTTAAGGAAAGTTTCCAACTTTATTAGGTGCTACAAAAAGCTTCCTAATGTGAGTTAAATGTAAACCTATGAACTGTTGTACTGATAGGCTGAAGCAGTAGTAAGGAGAGGTGTGAATCGCCCGCTAATCTTGCTGGTGTGGTAATTTGAATGCTTAATGAGATTTTAAATGTTAGTATTAACTATGGTGCTCATTTCAGCAGAAAATTAATCTAATATGGTTAGGTATTGCTACAAAATACTGTGGAAATCTAACTGAGGTTGCTGAGTGAAGATTTGGGTATCATTCATCTTTACGTTTTTCCATGATGAAGAATGAAAGGCAGGCGTCCTTTCTTAATGCCACAAGCATCAGTGACTCCCTTCCACTAGACTCCCAAATTACTTTTCCTCATTTTCCTGTATGACAAAAATCCTTACTATATCTTGTCCGCTGTCAAAACTGCATTTTTGTCTTTTGCAATGCAGACATGCACTCCAGTATAAACACTGGTGGCATATGGACTGTTTAGCAGAAGTAAAAATGTATCTAATGGAATATCTTGAGAAGTAATACAAGAAATATTGTCTCAATTATACTGTTTTCATTGAAAAAACCCTATATTTCCTTTAAAAAACCTTAAGTTATGATTTACCTGACTGTTGTGTTATAAAGGAAGGCCTGATATATCTAGGGTGTGTCTAGACGAGTGCCCACGTGTATTTCCCCAGGGACAACTAGCAGCACATATTTGTGATGCTGCTTGTTGTCCCTGGGGAGCGTCCCTGCATGTGTGCTCTGGTGCAGGGCAAATAGTTCCTGGTGGGATAGGGGAGGCTGGGGCCAGCATAGTTGCTGGCCCCAGCAGCTTTACTTGCAGCCTTCTAGGGCTGCAGCAGCAACAATCTGGGCGCACAGAGCCTGGCTCCAGTTCTGGGCAGCCAGAAAGTGGATCTGGCTAGGCAGATCCACTTTCGGGTGATGCATGCTGCTGCCCCATGTTCTGCTCTACTTTTTTTGGTGCCTTTTTTTTATGATGCAGGGATTTCCTGGTATCTAAATTTGGCTCTGTGCTGCAAATATGCAGTGTGGAGGACCAGATCGTGTGTGGGGGGCACGTTTTGCAGTGCCTCAAAAGCCTTTGAGGTGCCACACAGAACATGTGCACACTCGTGTGGACACACCGCCATAGTCCTAAGACTAGTGTTTACGTCTGATGTTGTACAAAGTACAGGGGGCCTTGTCTTTACCCCAGCATCAGGCACTGAACTTTATTTTGAATAATCATTGTATGGCATGTTACTTGGAATGTGAAGTATTAATCAGTGAAATCTTGAATTTATATGACTTAAGTATGTCTCCTTGGACCTTACTTTTCTCAGATACACAGGGAAGAGTAGAAATGTCAGCTGTGGTAGGTACAGAAATAGTCACAAGTGTCACTTTTTGCTGTTCCAAAAAGGGAGCATTTTGTGGTGCTGCCTGTTGTGTACTACTGCTGACAGCCAGGTTTTGACTGCACACAAACCATTAGCAGGTGGGGAAGCAGGGCTTTCTGCCTCACTTTTTTTTCCTGAGCACTAGGTAAGATTCCTGTTCTACTGGCATGCAGAATATGGGGAAGAGTGATGATCTGCATCTTTTTCCAATATATTTCCGTATTCATTTCATACATGTTACCCTGCTGTAATTGTTTACTAGAATCTGTTTCTTTGGTTTTCCATTATTGTATTTTTCTCCATGGATCTCATGTCTGTAAGCCATATTTCCTCAGTCACAGGAAATGGCAGTGAAGATTGAGAAAAGGCAGGGTTTGGTCGATATTTGGAAGAGAGATCTCAGAAAAAACAGAGCCACGTATTTCTCTTGCTGTTTCCTAGACTATACTCTTCAGGATGAAATTCAACAACAATAGACTCTCGGCTTGTCTAGAGTCTCTAACAGATGTCTCTAACAGATCAGTTTATGATGAAAAATATGGTCAGTGAGATAACAGAAGTGACCCATTAGAATTAGCCTACTGTGAAATCTGTTTCCTGGCAGTAAAGGGCTAGAACAGGAGTCGGCAGTGTTTTCAGGCAGAGTGCCAAAAACGCCCTCAACAACTTGCAAGATATTGGTATGCCAGTGGTGGGCAGTAGGCCTGTGCGAAGCAGCAAGTATTTGATTCAGATTAAGCCAGTTTGGAGGGAGTGATTCGAGTCACCATCCTGATTTCGATTCAGCCAAATCGGATTAGAAGATTCAGCGCCGATTAGGATATTCGGCCATAGACGAAACAGGCAGCAGTCCCCAGCCACGCTGGACCCAGCTGCCTCCAGCTGGTAAGTCTGTTGTGGTGATGGGAGGGAAGGGGGGGGGAGAAATCAATGCCCCCACAGTGAGGGAAGGATTGGGGCTGGGATAAGCTGACCAGCCCGGGCAGAAGGTGTGTGACTCAGGGAGGGGGGCTCCCGCCCCTGCGTGCCACCATGCACTGCCAATCCGGGAGGGCATGGGAGCAGGTGTGTGCCCCTGAATCTGCGGAGCAGGCTGGGCCGGGCTGTGCTCCGGATGGGTGGCGGAAGACAGTGGGAGTGACAGCTCTGCCCTGCCACTACTTGTCCAGCTGGGGTGGGGGGTGCAGTTTGCGGGTGCGGCAGCGCTGGAAGCTGGGGCTATGCCTTCCTACTGCTTGCCCAGTCGGGGTGGGGAGGCACGGGGCTGTGCTGCCTCAGACAAGCGGCATGCAGCAGAGGAACCTGCTCCAGGCTCCCCGTGCCTCCAGGACAAGCTGTGGCTTTGCCCCCCTGTGTCCCGCCTGGGCAAGCAGCAGCAGGGCATGGGGGCAGGTGCGTGCACCTGGATCAAAGAGGGGCTGGTGTGGCTGCAGTCCTCCCAGAACCCCTGCTCTACTGTGCTCTGCAGGGCAGGCAGAGCCAGGGCTGCACCCTGGGCTGTGGCTGGAGCTAGCTTCCCAGAGCGCAACCTGCCCTGCTTACATCCGGGGGTACACGCCTGCTCCTATGCCCTCCCGGACCAATGGTGTGCAGTGGCAGGAGCCCCCTCCCTGAGTCCACCCACCCCAGCTGGGCAGCTTATCCCAGCCCCAGTCCCTCCCTCGCTGTGGGGACATTGATCTGCCCCTCCTTCCCTCCCCCCACCACAACAGACTTACCAGCTGGAGGCAG